GCTCCGCGCTACTTTCGCAGCAGTCAGGGGCTCAAAGCCTAAAACCTCAAACTCCATCCCCCTCATTCCTCTCCTGATCTACTTTTCTGAGCTGTTCGATACCCCGGGTTTGTTTGTTTTCTTTCGTTCCACCTGCATACGATCCTGTCGGCTTAGGACGCGATCTTATTTGTTCGCGTCAAATCAAGAGTGCGAATTAGGATCTGTCAAAGCAACAAACCCCGAAGCAACTGGCCCCTCACTACTAGTAGGTTTCAGCCTTTGGGCAGCACAACAAAGGCTCATTTCATCATCTTCCAACATAACCTGTTACGCCCGTTGAGCATTCTGCCAAGATGGAATCGAGCAACGGGAACAACAATAACAACGACAATAACAATAACAGCCGGCTCCATTTGAATTTCGGTTTCAATGATCGTCCGTACACCGCCTCCGCAAACAACAGGGCTTATCCAACCACGCCTTCGACCTTCCCCCAGCCGATGTACCCCGGTGGCCAGGAGCATGTCGATTCTCAGAGCCCTCATATTGCCGTGGGGGGGCAAGGCTATTTCATGAACAATCCGTATGCTCCCCAGCAACCGCATGCTCCGACTCAACAATATGGCCAACAAGCCGCACCTTCGCCTCAAGCAACCTACCAAGCCCGTCCTGGCTACCAGACGAATGATGCGACAAATGGTCTGATTCAGCAATTTTCAAACCAGGATTTGGGAGGTGCGCATCCTCGGGCTGGGATGTTTGGCCGCAATCCTGCTTCAGGACAACGCCCACGTACTGCCGGTGCCCAGCCGTCGCCCCAAGCCTCGGGACACGGTGGCCCGCCAATGCCAACCCGTAGCCCTAAACCTGCTGCAGAGGAGGAAGAATTGGTGAGATGTGTTGAGAAATACTCGGAGAATGTGCATAAACGTGGCAGAGCGGCGAAGGAACTGGTCAACGTTTTCTTCCGTGAGAACATTGAACGTGCCCGTGACCGTAATCTTCGGTGAGCTTTATATGTTTAGGAGATGCGCTTCTGCTAGCCCACGAAGGTATTTTGTTTTGCGACTAATAGAACATTCTTGTCTGTACAGAGCTGTCAATCTCGACAAGGTCTTGACGAACCCAAGCCTTCCAGAGGCGCGCAAACGCCAAGAAGCGGAAACTGTGGCCAAAAAAGAAGCAAATTTCCTTCGCTTCATTCGGACCAGAGAAACGCCAGCCAACTTCCAAACTCTAAAAATCATTGGCAAAGGTGCATTTGGGGAGGTCAAGCTTGTGCAGCGAAAGACTGATGGAAAGATATATGCCCTGAAATCCTTAGTCAAAACAGAGATGTTCAAAAAGGATCAACTTGCTCACGTCCGTGCTGAGCGCGATATTCTAGCCGATTCAAAAGATAGCCCATGGCTTGTGAAGTTGCACGCGTCTTTCCAAGACAAGGCTTACCTTTATTTACTTATGGAGTTTTTGCCTGGTGGCGATTTGATGACTATGCTCATAAAGTATGAAATCTTTTCTGAAGATATCACAAGATTCTACATGGCGGAAATCGTGATGGCTATTGAAGCGGTTCACAAGCTCGGGTTTCTTCATCGGTAAGTTTTTCTACAATATTTCCAACTGTTCAAGGACCCTAGGTACCTCTCCTCTCCTGACTAAATCCTTCGATTCTAACATGTGTTTTATAGGGATATCAAGCCAGACAATATCCTCCTAGACCGTGGTGGGCATATTAAGCTCACCGATTTTGGTCTGTCCACCGGTGGGAAAAAGCAACATGACAATTCTTACTACCAACAGCTTCTAAAAAACACTTCTGCATCGAAGGATAAGAACCGGAACTCTGGCTTCTTCTCTGACGCTATCAACTTGACTGTGTCCAATCGTGGCCAGATCAATACTTGGAGAAAATCTCGTAGGGCTATGGCTTATTCGACCGTCGGAACCCCTGACTATATTGCACCCGAAATATTCAATGGTCAGGGCTATACCTATTTGTGTGATTGGTGGTCTGTCGGTGCGATCATGTTCGAATGTCTCGTGGGATGGCCCCCGTTCTGTGCCGAAGAGCCCACGGATACGTACCGGAAAATTGTAAACTGGCGCGAGTGTCTCTGGTTCCCTGACGAACTGACACTCTCTCATGATTCGGAACATCTGATTAGAAGGTAACACCATTCTGAACGAACACCCTTTTCGGAAATTAGGAACAAGCTAACAATATTGGCCTAGCTTCCTTTGTGACCCTGAACACCGCATTGGTCGAGAAGGCGGCGCCCAGTTCGGAGCTACACAAATCAAAAACCATCCGTTCTTCCGTGGCGTGGTCTGGGACCAACTTCGCAAGATTCGTGCACCATTCGAGCCCAAACTCACCTCGAATGTGGACGTATCGTACTTCCCAATTGATGAGATCCCACAAGAGGACAACTCAGCCCAACTCCGTGCTCAGGCTCGCGCCATGCCAGAAGAGCAGGAAGCTGAAATGAGCCTTCCATTTATTGGATATACATTCAAGGCCTTCAATGCCTTCCAAGGAAGCTAGATTTAAAATGTATTTGTTTCATTTTTTTCAAGAGTTTTATCTAAAACCAAATGAATGAATACTGGTGGCAGTATGAGTCCATCTGCTTGAGTTGCGGCGTTGTTTCTTATTGCCTCGTTCATTTCCTTTTTTTATACCATTTTATGGTTGACACTCCTTCCAATCAACGAAGCCTTCGATGACCACCGAATTACGACCAACGGCATACTGCCACTTCACGAACATGTTTTTATCCTACATTCCTTATTTATCTCCTCTAGGCCTCTCTGGCGCATTTAGCTAGGTTTTCCATCCGTTCATGTGAGGTTAATCTGTTCAGCGAGGTACGGAGTGTTTTGAACAAGCTAGGTGCTTGTCAATGGTCAGGGCCCTAAGCTTTTTGCATGTCTTAAGCCTCCTGGTAATAGAACTTTATTCAATCGTAGCCTATTTCAAAGGCCAACCTCACTCTCTCATTCGGAGTAGATGGTATCAGTATTGCAACACAATGAATTTTCCTTATATATGGACATAGCTGTGAATAGGAATGTGACCCTAGCAGTTCCACTACCATCGCGTCTCAAGCAAACGAAGTAAACTTTGGAGAAGCAAATAAAGAGTCATATTTGGTGAGTTTAAATGGATCATCCGCATATTAGGGTATCTGTAGGCCACAATTTCCATTATTTACTGCAGGCGCCGAAATTCCATTGACAAAACTCCACAAAATACCTAAAGACAAACACCTTTGCCTCATCTTCGTACAGGCGCAAGACCCGGCACACCAGAATACCGCTCCTCCCTCTCCGTTTTGAACATAACCTGTATCCAAAACTCCTTGCTGTCCTCGTCAAACCACGTCCAGAACTTCCCCTCACTTCTATCCACCTCCCTGGCTTGCAACTTGAAGCCCGCATGTCTGATATGGCTCCGCCGCAAACCAGCAAATATTGAAAATTCTTATCCGGCGGATCGTCAACCTTCTGCTCAAAGGCAGACATAAACCGTACTCGCGGCACCTCCCCCGGCGTGATTTCCTGATACTGCAGCTGGAAGAGCAACCCGTGCTGTCTTGTGAGCGGATCTCTCGTCTTGGTGATTTTGTATCCGGGCCGGCCGATCTTGACTGTGTTGCGCTTCACCTGCACCCCCATGGCGGCGGGTAGGAGGGAGCCATCTTGGCCCTTACCCTCTTTCTGTTCGCGGGCAGCGCGGCGGGCAAGATTGGTTTGGTGTTTGCGGCCCTGGGTGTGTGCGAGGTAGGAGCCGTCGTTCTGGTGGACGGTCAGACAGAGGCGGCATTCGAAACTGCCTATATGGTTTTTGAAGAAGTAGGGATCTTTTTCGAGGTCGATGTTTTCGAGCGCCAGTTTGCGGAGTCGTTCGCGCCGGTCGGCGTTGGTGGCGGAATGGGAAGCAACTCCTCCGCCGCCGAATTTGGAGCCTGCGCGATTCTGTTGGAGAATGGTTAGAAAGTTCTTGAGTTAAGAGCGGCAAAAAGAAGCTGTATATAGGTTTAGCAGACCTGGTAATCCATGGTGAAGAACTCTGAGGGGTATGCTATTATTATTTTGGGTTTATCTCAACATGTCCGTTGATCTTGCAGGAGTTCAACTTTTGACCAACTTTTATATCACGTGATTCTTCTCAATGCCTCTCGAATTACTCGATCCAGGTTAGTGCAACCACCAAGTCCGACTAACATTTTGAGCCAATGATACGGAGTATTATCCTCCAACGTTGTTAATCTTGTCTGCAACTATCAGTTATCGACATCATACATCTGCCTCAAATATTCTTTCAATTATTTCACATATTTTCTTTTTAGATTCCCCATCTCTGTAGCTTCATTTCCTGCTCTTACAGAAACCTTAATGACGTATATTTATTGAGATATTGTATTACGAGGATGTGATATCGAGATGCTATTTTGAGGAGATTTTGTGCTCTACCTACCTCCATACTATATATGCACTGTCATCCATGAATATCTAGCGGTATCGATTGATGATATGAAAATCTGTGATATACAGATTCCCCTTGCTGTCTTCCTGCATCCATACGATGTAAAGATCTAGTGAGATATATCTTTTGCTTATATGAACATTGTTGTATCAAAAAGGTGATATTATTCAACGGGAATCCTCATTTCTATAAAATAGACATTTGGCTATAGAAATCAGTTCTACCAAGAGATATATTAATTTTTCATACCTTCTCGTAGTACAGAATTGTTGAAACTATCATAAACAAAGTGTAGTTCAGATCTTCATCCTGGCGGGGCATCAGACATGTAATTAGCTAGCGCCAAACGCGCGGACGCTTCAGCATATCAACAAACTTCACGAATTCTAGACTTATAGTTAACCAATTATTCAGTAGTAGTCTTGGATTGATTGATTTATTTCCATTACTAAATACCAGAACCCTTTAATACCCTTTAACTCTATTTTAACTTTAGGACTTAAACGGCGCAGTATGCGCATCTCACTCGGCTCCAGGCTTTCCTTTGAGGGCGGACTCTGCACAGTTCGCTATATTGGTGACGTCAAGGGGACGAAAGGACAGTGGCTGGGTGTAGAGTGGGATGATTCAACCAGGGGCAAACATTCAGGAGAGCATCATGGGGTGAAATATTTTCAATGTATAGTATAATTAGCCATCCCGCCGCCTGTCGCTCAACGATAGAGAGAGGGCTTACGAGTTCATTTCCAGGCAAAAGCAAGCATCCAACAGCGGGTTCTTTTATACGCCCAACGAGACAGGCTGATCGAAATCTGAGTTTCTTACAAGCTGCCAATGAGAAATATGTTTCAAAACTTGAGCCCATGACTTCTGGTCATGAAGAACTCCAATCGTCCAAGCCGATTGAGATCAGCGGCAAAATTGTTGAAGAAGTTGGTTTTGAAAAAATTCGCCGGCTACTTGCAGAATTGCAGGAGCTTCGAATCGTTCTTCTTGATGGCATGCGTGTTTATGGTGTGCTGGCCCGGTGAAGGAAGCCGAGAAGAATACGAAAATGAGCTTAAAATTATCGCAAGGACTTGCCCGAAAATCGTCGAGCTGGACCTCAGTCGCAATGTCCTTCGAAGATGGACCGATGTGGCAGCTATATGCGGGCAGTTAAAACTCCTAAAGATTCTTAAATTGAAGTGGGCGAAAAATGAATGAGATTTCCCAAAATCGCTGATACCCTGCTAATTCTCTCTCACAGTGGGAATCGTTTTGACGAAATTGGCGAAAATATAACACTTGACGGTATTTCCGAGTTAGCCCTGGACGAGACTCTTATGGAATGGAAGGAGGTAAGATCTAAATAAATTCACAGCTGAACATGTGCTTAATATCCTGTTTTAGGTCGCCGCTGTTTCGAAACAGTTTCCGTCGTTGCGGTCATTATCTGTCTCCGGAAATGAATTTACGTCGCTTCCATGTCCAATATCAAGCACAATCCAGGAGCTTATACTGGAATATAATGGCTTCGAGTCTATCCATTCCATTCGGCAGTTAGCCTCCCTGTCCGAGCTGAAGAAGTTATCCCTTCGCGGAAATATGATTAACAGGATTGGATCTGACAATCCACCAACGATTCCAGAAAAATCCAACATCGTGTTTTCATCTACTCTTACTTCCCTTGACATATCATTTAATAAAATAAGCCACTGGTCATTTATCGACATGCTTCCTAAGGTGTTCCCTGGCCTCGCTACTCTTCGAGTTTCCGATAATCCGCTATACGACCAACCACCGGCTCCTTCCCACGTCACAAATATGCCCGAGTATCCAATGACTGTCGATGAAGCATACATGCTCACTCTTGCCCACCTCCCTCGGCTCGAGACTTTAAACTACAGCAAAATCACAGACCAGGATCGCAATAACGGCGAGCTATACTACCTCTCCCTGATCCGGAAAGAACTTGCTGCATCGTCACAAAGTGAAGAAAACCGCATCTTAGAATTGCACCCGCGATACGGAGAGTTATGTGGTACGTATGGAGAGGTCGAAATAAAACGAGAAACAGAAAGCTCTGGAAGTGGAATACACCCTCGATCTCTTGCGGCTCGACTCGTCACCTTTAACTTCTACCTACCCGACCGTCAAAACCAAAAGCCCATCTCTCAGAAACCAGACAGGACTGCTAGTGCTGAATACAGTACAAATATTCCAAAATCGTTCGATGTCTACCGCATCAAAGCTCTTGTCGCACGGCATTTCTCACTTTACCCCCTCCGTTTCAAACTAGTGTGGGAAACAGACGAGTGGGATCCGATCGAGGAATCCTGGGCTGATGATGATGAATGGGATAGTAGTGATGAAATCGACGAACCTGGTCCACAACACGGTAGCTCAGCCTTGAAACACGAGGATGGCAAGAAGCTCATACGGCGTGAGGAGGAGCTAGTAAACTCAACGAGGGAGGTTGGGTTTTGGCTTACGGATGAGACTCGACAAGTTAGGGTGCGGATAGAGTCGTTCTAGATAACTTGGCTGTCTCCAGCTGAAATGCAGATGATATATTACCATTGTGAGTGAAGGAGAATGCTCAAAACAGTCTCCATCCACTAGTACCTTCCAATACATGTCCATTGAAGCACGACCGTAAACTTCATTTTAATATCAGTTACATACATAACCATATTTATATGAATAATTTTTCACTCTCTTTCCTTAAATCAGTGAATTGAGTCTTTTGCTCGCAAAAAGGCAAGAGTTTTAACGTAATCCATAAGCGAGCGAAACACATAAGCAAGCGAAACACTTCCTACCATGCAATCAGAGTTAAGAGCATAAAAGAGCTCAAGAACAAAGAGAATACAATTAATTATATTATGAGATAATTTCTATATGCTTAGAGCATGTACGAGCAGTATGTCCAATAGTCCCACATACACTACACCGTGGTGCTGCACGTTTTCGTGGTTGAGAGCCAGCAGCCTCAACCACCCCTCCTTCCAATTCATTGACCCTTCGTACGCGATCCAAGCCTTCTTCAACCCTTAAAGCACCCTCTTGAGCTACATACGTACGGCCTCTTTCTCGCTTTCTCTTTTGTTTAGCATTTGTAGCCCTTAACTCCCTATTTTCAGCTGCTAGAATAGCAGCACTATGCATTGCCATTTGACATCCCTTGACCAGCTGATTTAGGGCACGATCAGTTGGGCTGGGTGGGCTCTGCGTACGGCGCTTAATATATCCTTTAACTTTCTTAGTCTGCTGCTCTAGCTGGTGTATATTATGTGGTGTAGCAGTGGCCCAGGAGGCCTGAGAGCTATGAGAGGTCCCAGGTGGGGTGGGGGTATGCATTGTTGTATTAAGTCGTGAGAGAACCTGCTCAGGATCGTACGGAACCAGCCCAGCTGCTCTAAAACCACTCTTAATGTTGCTCTCAGTCAGGGCCTGTATCTGAGCTGCAGGATATAGGGCCAGAAACTCCTCCTTATCAATATGGTTGATTCCAAGCCGCATTTGGTTCTCTACCTGTTGTCCGTACGCTGTTTTCAGTGAGGAGAAGCAGCCAACATCCAATGGCTGAAGAAGATGGGAGGAATGAGGTGGCATATAGAGAGCAATAATCTGATTCTCAGAGCAGAATTGATCAAATCCAGCTGAGGCATGACTTCAGTGCCAGTTTAGAATCAATAGTTGATATCTGCCCTTCGTACGGGGTAGGGTCTCCTTGTTGAACACCTCTTTCAGCCAGTACACACCCAGCTGGTCAGTAGTCCAGCCATTCTCATTGACTTCAATCACCCAGTCACTTGGCAGCCCTTCTGTCTCATACCAACAGGACTGGTGCATCTTTCCCTTGAGTATAATCATCGTACGTAGAGCCCAGCCAGTTGCATTAATTCCAGCAATAACAGTCACCCATTCCCGATCTCCAGGCTGTACAAGCTTAGGATTCCCAGCTCTTTCAGACCCAGTAATGACCCTGGCAGTCCCAATAACCCCCATCTGAAATCCAGTCTCATCAAAGTTGTAGATATCATCATCCAGGATCCCATACTTTGCAATGGTGTTTTGTACGAGTCTAAACCACCCACGGATAACCTCAGAATCCTCACATAGTGCACACTGATAATCATACTTGCGGGAGAATTTAGATTTCAGCTCTTCATGGCGGTTGACAAAGTTTCGTACCCAGCATTCACCAACTGTGGGTGAGGGGTTGGATCCTCGACTGACAAGAAGGAGATTGGCCATTTCTCGTACGGCTGCAACCCGGGGTGGCTGACCTCGCTCATTCATGGCTAGAATCCATTGAACAAGAGATTCTTCCTCACTAAGACTGAGTTTTCAGTTTTTTGGGGGAGTATTGATGCGTGTTGTACGACCCTTCATTCGATGGAATAAGCTGGTATGAGGAACATCATACAGCTTTGCTGCAGCTCATATGCTTAGAATTTGGCCTTTATTCAAGGCTTCAATAGCTAAAAGAAGCCTTCCTTCTTGATTAGAAGCCTGATTGCATTGTGTGGTTGACATTTTTAATGAAAAGCATTCTCATCATATGGCAGGGTGGGAAGTGTTTCGCTTGCTTATGTGTTTCGCTCGCTTATGGATTACGTTAACTAACGTGACTCACCACCCAACGAACTCCTATTTTTTCCATGAATCCCTGCAACTCTTCAACTTCAACCACCCACCATGCCGCCCAACGAAGCAATTATAGAGCAAGCGATCGCTCAATTGAATCGACAATTGATTCCTAAATATGCTGAGGTTGCAAAGGAATTCGGAATCAATCGCGTTACCTTGATGCGGCGGTTCAAAGGTCAACAGGTCTCCAGAACAGAGGCAACATCAATCTACTGTCAGAATCTCACGAATACTGAAGAACAACGCCTCCTATTTCATATTAATCAGTTATCCGATCGCGGCTTCCCTGTGACACCTCAAATACTGCGCAATTTTGTATTAGAGATCACCAAAATGCAAGTAGGAATCAACTGGGTGTCTCGCTTTTGTGAGCGGCATAAAGCAAAGATCAAGAGCATCTATCTTCGTGCTCTGGATCAAAAGAGAAAGCAGGCAGATAATAGCTACTATTTTGAACACTTCTTTACTCTTGTAATTGCAGTTTTTTTGCTTCTTTTCGCGTGCAATTCCATGAGCTTTTTGCTGACTTCTATTGAATAGTTGCAGGAGAAGATCAAGCAGTATAATATCCTACCCCAGAACACCTACAATTTCGATGAAAAAGGCTTTCTTCTTGGCCTCCTTCGTACCCTCAAGCGAATCGTTTCTATAGAAGCTCTCAAACGGAAGCATACAATTGGAGCAGTGCAGGATGGCAGTAGAGAATTCATTTTTCTGCTTGCCGGTATTTGTGCAGATGGAACTACAATTCCACCTGCACTCATTTACCGCGGGGAATCAAGAGATATGCAAGATACGTGGCTTGAAGATTTTGATCCTAAAAAGGATCAGGCATACTTCGCTGCTTCAGAAAATGGATGGAGTAATGATGAATATGGGTTAACCTGGCTGAAACAGGTGTTTGATCCTCATACAAAGCAAAAAGCAAGAAATCATTACCGCCTGCTTATATTAGATGGCCATTCATCTCATATAAATATGGCATTCATTGATTATGCGGATCAGAATCGAATTTTGCTTGCTATTCTTCCTCCCCACTCTACACACCGTTTACAGCCGCTAGATGTTGGAATATTTGGCCCACTTGCAAAGGCATATTCAGATCAACTAGATTCCTATACACGTTCTGGCTATGGCTTTATTCGGACTACAAAGCGAGATTTTTGGCGATTATTTCGTGCTGCATGGGAAATCTCTACAACTGCGGAAAATATCAAATCTGCCTTCATGGCCACTGGCATACATCCTATAGATCCTGCCCGCGTTCTCAAAAAGATTCAACCACGTCCACTTACACCCCCGGAACTGCTTCAGCAGCGTACACCTACATCTATCGAGCTTTGCGAGGCCTGATAAAGCAGGCAAGTCAACGTCACCGCCGACTTTCAGTTGATATTAAAAAAATTCTCCGCGCTGGGGAGAATATTGCTCTGGACAGAGAGGTTCTCTTAATAGAGAATAAGAATCTTCAGACTGCTCTAAATAATGAGAGAAGGCGACGCAAACGGGGTAAGCGTATGGGGTTGCTTAATCCATCAAATCCCTCACTTGCTCAATTCTTTTCTCCCACAAAGGTGCAGGCCGCGAGGGAGCAAGCAGATGCTAATGAAACTGCGAAAATCGATGATCAGGCACGCAAGGAGGATATGAAGCTTCAACGAGCGATTCTTCGTGAGCAAAAGCAAGCAGAGCTCATGGAGCGGAAGGAACAACGTGAGAAGGAACGTTTAGAAGCTGCTCAACGCCGTGAGGAGGCCAAAGCTGCAGCTGCAGCTAAACGTTGTATAGAGAAGCAACGGCGAGATGAACAGAAGCTTCAACTGCAAAAAGAGAAGGAAGAACGCGCTGCCAAACGTCATGAAGCACAGTTGGCAAAGAAGGCACTCGCGGAGGCCTCAAAGAGGCCTACAAGAAGATCAACAGTGGGCTCAAAACACCGTAGAAGCTCTATACAACCTTCTAAAAGCGGTAATAAGTGCCGCACGCAGGCCCCCCCAGTGGAATCAAATGATATTCCTTCTCTGAAACCTTCTACGCCGCGATCCGATTCAACCGTTTCAAAACCACGAGTTTCACGTTCCGGGCGGATTATTAGGCCAAGCAATCGTTCTCTGAATTAATCATATATATTTATATGATGTATTCTACATATAGTTTTAATCTTTAATAAATAATATTAATATCTTCTTGCATTGTTGTGCTACAGTTGAAAATTAACGGCTCTATAGAGCGCTTTTTGGAGTTCGTTGGGTGGATGAGTTCGTTGGGTGGTGAGTCACGTTAAGCTAGAAGATTGAACCTCCTCCGGCTTACTAATATGCCTTTATATGAATACAACGCAGCCGATCTTCAAAGAGAGCCAACGAAATTCACGGCGTTGCGAGACGAGTTCCACCTGTTTGTCTTAAACTGGATCAAAACTTGTATTGGGTGTTAAGTTATTTACACCTCCCTCGACCTCCCAACTCTTTCTATTCTTGTACCTGCTCCTTGTGCCTGGATGTTTAACCCCCTGAAGGTTAGATATTTCTCAGTCAGCCCATGGCTGTCGCTCATTTTAATAATCAAGAATCTCTCTTCATGCTGAAACATTTGATCTAGATGTAAAAAAAACAAAGCTTTTACTAAGTCACCTCAGACTATGCGTGGTCCCGGAATATCGTTATTGCGGGCATGTCCTTTGCTTGGTTGATATATCCATCGTCAACAAGGCTGATTGATATTTTCCTCTTTTTTCTTTGTCTTGAACTGGCATCAGACTTGTATTCACATATCTCCTTAGCAATCTCTGGAGATCTGCATGCGTGTTCCTAATGTCGTCGCCGCCGCTTTCCACAGTTTTCCTGGCCTGCAGCCCCAGTTGGTTGCATGGTTCTCTTTTTGGATTGTGGCTCGGTCTAATATTACTGTGTCGGTTAACGAACTTCAATTTAAATTTGGATTGCAGCTGTACCTGATAGATTTTGATCGTCGATTCTAGGAGCGCAATATACGAAAATAGGGTTCTGGCGCCCGCGAGGATTACTGCACAGTCCAAAGCCATCCAGTTTATGGATATGCCGTCTCACTTCATCTGTATATTCTTCCAGCCTCTTCCGGATGTAGCCCACCTTTTCCTGACTGAGAGGTTCATACATTTGCTGAAAGGGCATTATCGGCCGGCTCTCTGCAAGAGCTGTATGGATTGATCGAGTCCAATCCGGTACGGGTCTCGAGGGTTGGAGATTCAGTGGATTGCTGGAAAGAATGATATGGATGGCTTCCCCGGCAGCGCTTTTTTCACAGCATACAGAACTATGGGCTGCCAATTCCCAAATGCGTGTTGCTTGCACCGGAGATGTCGGCCTCGTTGAGCCAGTAGAGCTCAGGGAGCTGTTCTCCCGAGACTCAACAGAGCTCTGCTGCTGGGCCCTCTCAGCCATGGTTGTTCCTTGGTCAATACTATCGTTGTTTTCTGCGTCCAGATGTCAGTTACAACCCGTTATCAATATGATGATGGGAGTTTCTGTTGCACCTGTGGCAGAACTTGAACCACTGCCGCCTCTGCTGACCGCTGGGCCGGGCTCTGATTCCTTGATCTTACGAGTTCGAGTTGTCCGGGTACTCATGATGGAAGTGTGGCGTCGGATAATTTGGAAAGCTGGGTGGCCTTTGTGAGGAGAAAAGGGAAGATGGAGCGATGGAAGCAAAGTGGGAAGAGGGCTGGCTTTATATGCCTCAGACCCCTGGAGACAGATTTGGAGCGATCGTGAGAAACCGCACCGTTTACAGGATCGGGGCCTACGAACAGAGGGGATATTCATATGACATCTACAGTACGCCCTCCACGCTTCCAGTTGATGTTTGGCTAGTGATGTTTACAAAATTTGACTAACTTCCATCAATTATTGAATCACGACAGAAAACCAAACGAGGCGGATCTCATCGAGATTCAGCGTTATGACAAGCAGCGTTGTCATCAGATACGATTACGGATAGAGAAACACGAAGAAGAAAGAAAGAACAAAGCGCACGAACGACCCCCACAAACATGAGAGCCGGGGAGGATGTGTAGAAATCTGTCCCAGTCCGCCTGCCGAGAAGGTAGACTCCGGATTAACATCTCGTCAAGCAAAACGCCAGATGATCTCCCAGATTGATCATTCAGGTCAAACATTCCATTATAAAAACATAAAACTGTCATCAGACATAATTACCCAGAGATAAAACAGAGCAAACTACTAGATCAATTCCTCACCCACAAACGGCCTCCACGAACATGGGACAAACGTGGTAGCTAAGGAGAAGGAGGATTAAATTAAACCAGTGCCCGTTCATATCAAATAAGACTGGGGGGCGGATTACGTACTTCTGAGGTCATGGTATCCTAATTGTACATGGTCTCGAGACGCTCCGTGCGACTGAATGCGCGCGCGAATTCCTCGTTCGATTCCGCGGCCTGCGCTCCAGATGGGTGTAAGACACACGATCTTTACCGACAGTGGCGAGTGCATGGGCGATCATAGCCAGGTTTCTGATCTGAAGATGAATATACGGTTAGAGATGAGATATGGATGGTGGGCGTTCCGCCACATACCTCTCGGGCACTAAGGTCCAAACCCTCC